CTTATATTTACTATACTTCAGAAAAATCTGGACATCAAGCCCAGAAAGAAAATATATGCATATAACATGACTTTTTATTCTAGAGACACTTTGATAAAATGCATAAGTTTACAGCTTTAAACTAGTTGACATATACTGCTTGTGTTAAGTACCAAATTGTATTTTATTTCTCTGCTTTTTTCCAGGGCAAATCGAGTCCATCTCTACCGTGTCTGGGTTGGAATGTTGAATACAATACAGTATGACAAAGAGACACATACTTTTAGACTAAAACGACTGATAATTCATGAAAATTACAATGCATCAACTTATGAAAATGACATTGCTCTGCTGGAGCTGAGTGGTTCTGGGAATGGAGAATGCTCCTCAGACCACAACAGCATACCTGCCTGTATCCCCTGGTCAGAGTATATGTTCAAGACTGGTGACAGATGCAAGATTTCTGGATGGGGACTAGAGAAAGGTATTTGCTTTAGTGCTTGCTACAAGAATGTGCTATTTCTATCACTCCTTTTCTAGTTGTGGTGAGCTTTCATTTTGAAAAGGCTGAAGAATAGTTGTGCATAAAGCACTCAGAAGAGGCTGAGTACAAAAAACATAGGCTGTGGTTTGACATTCAGCTATCACTGTTGGTTCTCTTTTCTGTACTGCTTCCTCTGCTGTTTCAGCACTTAGTAAATTGATATGGAGGATATTCCTGGATGAAAACTATCTTAACAATAAGAAATTTTTGTTTTTTCCATCTAATATTTATATTAGCTGTGGAGACCTGTTAAGGATATTATCAAGTGGCGGTTGGTAGCTCTCAGGGGCCCACAGTCACAGCCTGTCCTCTGTCCCAAGAGGATCTGATCTGCAGCCAACAGTTATGAAACTCAGCATATCCCATCTCAACCACGTTTGAGTTTAGCCCAGAGAAGTTGCACAGAGACCCATAAGCCAAATGTAATCATGCTTTCAAAGATTTGGGAAGCACTTGTTTTGTATCACAGCGTTACAGCTTGGCATTGGAGCTACCATGTTCTGGTTGTGAGGTTTCTCCTGTCCATACTCAGTAGCAGTCCAGCCAGCAAATGCCATGTTGGGAATTGCTAGCAGAGACAGAGAACAAAACATAGCATCTCCTTAGGCTTGTGAATACATAGTTCACCTGTATCTTCAATAACTGCTCCACTCACCCCAAAAAGACAGAGACGAATTGGAAAAAATGTAACAAGAATGAATTACAGCCACATCTCCATTTCACAGAAAACAATATACCATTTTCCAAGTGTCTGAAAACCTTGATATGGAAAACACAGGGAAAAATACCTGAGGAAGACATGGAAATGGATAGGGTTGAAAATGTCACAAAATGAAACTACTGTAGTTAACATCACAATTGAACCACTCTGCTTTTATTTTGAAATATATGACCAAGGTACTGCAATTCATATGGGGTAAATGTTACTGGCAGTTTAAGGTTTCTGGTTTATAATAATGAAGATATTATTCTGTAAATAATTAAATATGTAACTTTTCAATTTATTATATTAAATGTGTCTCATATGTACTACCATTTTAAATTTAGAAAATTATATTCTTTTTTCTTCTAGGTTATACCAAACAATTTATCCTCAAGTGGGGAAATGTTAATATATTTCAGAATTGTTCTGCATTGTATCCAGGACGATTTTTTAAAAAAATGGAATGTGCAGGCAAGCATCAGTTTTCTTACTATAATCTCTCCATAATCAAACTTACAGTTTAGAAGGTCAGACATAATGGCTGGGAATCTTCTAGACTTGGGAAAGACAAAAAACAATTACCACAGTATCACTACTGGCAAAATGCTACAGCATCCACCATTATATACGTATTTATAAACAGAGTTCAGATGACAGTGTGCCAAGTTTCTCTAATTATGTAGACAAATTTCTGCATGTAATTTGAGTTGTGTTTTCTAGACACACAAGCACTTTACAGTGCACTGACCTTCCCACCTTTACTACATTTGATTCTGATTCAGCAACATATTTAAGCAAATGCCTGTTCTAGAGCACATTAGTAGCCTCATTGACTAGAATATAATTATTCATCTGCTTAGACATTTGCCACTAACACACTGTACCCTGGGAAAATATGATTAACTTTTCAAACTTAGATTAGTCTGCCTAGGAAACTAGTTGTCACTCCTAGTATTAAAATGAGGATTTTGAATACACATTTTTTGCTTCTCAAATAACGAAAGGTATTGCCAAATACATGACTAAAAGAGCAATGAGTATTCAACTTACAGGGCAGATAGTTTCAAACGTTTGTCAAATCGAAAAGTAAAGGCAATATTTAAACAAACTCCTTAACAAGAAAATAAAAACCACATATAAAAGCCAAATAATTTATGATGAATTCAGCATGACACCTGTAAGATACTGGGTTTATTTACTATGCAAGTTCTGTAACTTATCTTCTTTTTCTTCAATGTATTTCAAGTGATCGTCCTTTACCAGGAGGTGACAAAGGCAATATCACATGGGAGAAATTCAGAACAGGGGTACCTGGCATTAGCTTCCCCTCCCTGATGCAAATACAAACATTGAAATTAAGGCCTAGTATCCACAGTAGTTAGTTATACGAGCAAATATTAATTAAACTGAATAAAGGCAGTAAAACCTTGTTTCATAGGATCAGTAATCCCAACTCTGCAGAGTTCACATAACTCTTTCTCAATAATGTAGAGATTCAAGAAAGAGGTTACATTTTTAAAAACCTGGAGACTCATGCTTGGTATGGGCTCCTTCATACTAGGACAGCCTACCAAGCAGAAAAGTGTCATAAGGGATTTAGAAATTAATAAACTTTTACTGAGTATATAGGAAAGATCATATTCTAGCTCTGTAGCAGCACTTCTGTTTATATCACATCTTTTACACTTATTCTTTTTTTCACAAGCACTGTATTTGCTGAATTGCAAACAAGTAGGTTTGTGAACACTGAAACATAAGGAGCACTGAATCCTACACACTTGTGCCTCAGGGCTGCTGCAAAAGGTCCACGCTGAGACCGAGATCTCGCAGTGAGGGCACTGTATTACAGGCAGCTGTTCTCTCCCTCCCTTCTCACATTCATGTGCTTTCCTTCTCCTTCTTGTACCTGCTCACCTATTTTCATAAAGCTGGTAAATAAAATAAATGTGCAGATGAAACAGGACAATGAATGACTGACTAGAGAGGACACCAAAGGCAGACACAGAGGTGTACACATATTACGATATCTTCATTTCCACAGGAATCAACCTAGAAATCTTTTTATCTTTTCCCTCCAGCTTTTGTTCCATTTTTATGGGCTACTTATTATGACACAATAGGCAATGTGGCTGAATTCTTCTCTTTGGCACAGGGTGAAACAAGACTCACATGACTGACAACAAAGCAAATGAGGAGAATTTGGGCCGGCCACAAATGTAAAGAGAGATCCAGCACTTAAAAAGAAATGAGAAATAATAGACTGAAGAGGTTCAGAACCTCCTTTACTGGTGACCATTAGGCAAATATCTGTCAGGAAGTGACATGCACCTGAAAATTCTCCTGAGCTCTGCTTTGTGCTCTAGCTTGTATATGAACTTATTTTTGCTTTATATTTCCTCTTTTGCTTCAGGTACTTATGATGGCTCCACAGACAGCTGCAAAGGTGATTCAGGAGGACCCTTGGTCTGTTATGATGCAGAAAATGTGGCATATGTCTGGGGTATTGTGAGTTGGGGTGAGAACTGTGGGGAGGCTGGTCACCCTGGCGTGTACACAAAGGTTGCCAGCTACTATGACTGGATTAGCCACCATGTGACACGGAGTCTCATTGCACGGTACAATATCTGAGCTTATATTCAATACTTCCTTCATATCACCCATGCAAAACCAAACACCAGTGCTTTTTCACGATCAGCAGTCATGTAACTTAGCAACAATTACTACAAATCTTTAAAGAATATATTTTGAAAATTCTTTACAGTCTATGAATAGCATAATTTTGCAGAGCCCGTAGGAAGAGAATTCTACAGACACAAGTCCACAGCAAAAGTCTCTAATAAAGGATATTAAAATATCTTTTTCTTGTTGTTATTTTGGGTTCTTTTCCACTTTTCACACTGCATTTCAATTGCCGTTGTTTAATTAGCTAAAACTGACCATACTGGAAGCAGTAGTTGGAAAATGAGTGCACTGGCCTTATGTGAACTTACAGAAAGGACAGCAACCAGAGTATTTAAAGGTCTTACATCACACTGAGGTCTAAGTCACTAGAAACCTTCTGCCTTGCTTGGAAGATTCTTCAGGCTTATTGTGGAAGTAGACTTCAGACCATCTATTAATCAAGAGATTGACTATGACCATGGGATTTGTTGTAATGCAACAAATAATAAATCTGCTTAGTGGTAGTTTTTTTTCATCTACAGACTCAGACAATTTATATCTAGTTAATATATATCATCTGATCATCTAGCTTGGGGCACTTTTGTAGCTCTGAGTTTTATTAATTTAACAGCTGGTCACAAAAACCAGAAGAATTTTAAAACTTAAATCTTCAACTTAAATAAAAAGCATCTTTATTATCTTAAGTTCTCTGTGTATGTGTATATATATCTATCTCAGGTATCCAACAAAGTCTTAACACCAAATAGTTTTACTCTGTGTGTATATATATATTTATACACACACACATTTTATATAATATAAATATTTAAAAAGTCAATATATTATATAGAATTAATTCTACAAAAGCAAGTTACAGATCTAAAGTTAAAATCTTTGCTGTCATAAGGAAAACGTCAGTCTACACATAATACCCTCACAACCAGGAGGGTTATATACAGAAAGTGTGCAAAAGATTTTTAAAGTATTAGAATTTGATTTATGGATTGGTATCCTTGACACAGAACTGAAATAGCTCCAGGACTGTCTCAGCCAGTTGTATCAAACTGTTCAATAGTTTTAGAACATTCCTCACTGTATTCTAATTACAAATACTTTTAATATTTATTTTACTTTATTCCACTCCATTAATTATCCTGTCGAATTAATGGCATATGTTCACACAACACAGTTGTTCTGGTGTGTTTTTTCTATAATTCAGCACAATCAGACAATGTTTTTACATTTTCACTGACTTTTCTTCATCTTCCAGTCTTGTAAAAACCGCACATAAGCATGAATTTGTCACGTAAAGGCACTGTCAATCATCAATAACTAAAGTATGGGTATTAATTGATTCTCTTCACACACACACACACACACACCCTCAACAAGGTTTCCTGTTTAGAAAAGCATTTAAGTATATTTCTACACAGGAATATACCACAGGGTCTTGGTAAAGTAATCATAGGAAAAAGCTGGACAGGTGTACAAAGAGCTCCCTCTTTTGTTTGACTTAATTAATTTCTGCAAAGAACTTTTTCGACCAATATCTTCAGTTAATGACAAATAATATTAAATGTTGAGGCTGAAAATAAAAAAAAAAATAGAATATGTATCCTTATACTCTGCCTCTTGATCTGAAAGTCTCTTGGTTTTCTTCCCATTTCCTGTTCTTTTTCACATTTAACTTTTGGTCAAATATTACTACTTTCTGAGGTCTTCCACACATCTTAAATCAGAGTTTTCGTGGTTCCACTTCAGCTCATCTGTGAAGCATCTAGAATTAAAATATAAAATTAATTAAAAAGAAATCCTCAAAACCAAACAGGATGTTCGGCAAGCAAGTTCATTTTGGTCTGGTTTTTTTTTTCAGCAAATCAAGACTGGACTTTCAATGTTTAATAGATATACTTTCATTTTGCTCTGTTTTACAACCCCGTCTTGCACTCTTGATGATGATGTTACCAGAAACTGAATCACTTGCCTGTGGAAATATCACCAGATCAGTTTCCTCCACATTGAACATCATCATAAACTTAGGTTAAAATTTTAACATTTCAAGCATATAGTCTTTAAAGACTTTTTTCTTTTTTTTGTCTTCCCAAAGGGTCATGTTTTTCTAGCTGCTCTAATCCAAGTTCTCCCCATGAGTACACAGAGGGACAGCAGTATGTGGGTCTGGGCACGATGCTGCCAGAGGCAGCGTTTGCTCCAAGCCCCAACATGGCTGGCACGAAGGCTGGCTCAAAAATCAGCCTTTCACAGAATCACAGAATCAACCAGGTTGGAAAAGACCTCTGAGATCACTGAGTCCAACATATGACCGAACACCACCTTTGTCAACTAGGCCATAGCACTAATATGTCCAGTCTATCCTTAAACACCTCCAGGGACAGTGACTCCACCACCTCCCCGAGCAGCCCATTCCAATGTCTGATCACCCTTTCAGTGAAGAAATTCTCCCTGTGTCCAACATAAACCTCCCCTGGTGCAGCTTGAGGCCATTTCCTCTTGTCCTGCCACTGGCTGTCTGGGAGAAGAGTCGGATCCCCACCTTTCAGGTAGTTGGGAGAGCGATAACACCACCCTTGAGCCTCCTCTTCTCCACCTTTTCTCCAGGCTAAACACCCCCAGCTCCATCAGCTGTTCCTCATAAGACTAATGCTCCAGTCCCTTCGCCAGCTTCGCTGCCCTTCTCTGGACGACTCTTGTTGTCTCTTTCACATTGAGTCCTCTACTTCTAACACAGGCATCAAATAAAGGTTTTCCCAAATAGCAGACTCCCGCGGTTCCCTACTGCCGGATCGCACCGGTACCTCCCAGGGCCCTGCTCAGGCAGCGCCACGGTACCATACAAGCGCATCCAGCCGCCTGCCCCTGGACAGCTTCGGAAAAGCTCCTCGCACTGCACACAGACCACCCTGACCTTCCCCCCATGAAGCATCCGACACTTCAGCGGGACCGACGCTCGGCCGGCACCTCCTCCTGCCCTGGGCGGGCGGATGAGGGAAGGCCCGCCCCGCGGGCGGTGCCTGTGGGACGGTGGCGGCGATGGCGGCGGTGGCCCCGGGCCGGGCCGGGCGGGCGACGGAGGCGCTGTAGCGGGCGGGCGGGCGGCGGGGCGCGGCTCGGCATGGCCCGCGCCCTGCTGCTACCGGGGCCGCCGCTCCTGCTGCTCCTGCTGGTGGCGGGCTGTGCCCTGCGGCCGGCGCGGGGCCAGGAGGCGCCGCAGACCCCCGACTGGAGGATGACGCTGAAGACCATCCGCAACGGGGTGCACAAGATCGACGTGTACCTCAACGCGGCCCTCGACCTGCTGGGCGGCGAGGACGGGCTCTGCCAGTACAAGTGCAGCGACGGTGAGCGGATGGGAAGGGGGAGAGAGAGTGACGGCGACCCTTGTCCCCGGTCGGAGCGGCCGGGGCTGCGGGGATGGGGCGGCAGCGCTCCCGCCGGCCCCGAGCGCCGCTCCCAGGGGAAGCCTCGCCAGCGAGTTCTTACCGGTGTCTGTGTGTATAAATATATCTGTCAGCCTCAGCAAACAAGTTCTTACGCTTGTGTATATGTTTAAATACATGTGTAACATATATATAAACATATATACGCGTAAGCAGTGCTCTCGGTGTGACTTTTAAATAGCGACGTTTGCGTTTGACAAACTGTCAAATATGTAGGTGATGTGTAGAGTAAAAAAAACCCTGGAGTGGAAAGAATTGCTCCCTCCAAGGGTTATTTACGAACACTCCTGAGCATTTCAGTTTGGAACAGAAAAGCCTAACTCTGAGCTGTGGAATGCGTTGTTTCAGAGTCACGTTTAAATAACAGCTTTTAATGGCAGCCACGTTTGCCGGCGGAAGGAATGCATCCTGCTGCTCGTAAATCTTGCTGCTACCAGCAGAGGACATCTGTGCTTCTTCCCTGCGTTTTAGCTGCCTAATTTGCCTAAAATCTAATTGAGGCAGCTCAAGTTGGCATGACCTGATAGATTATTATTAGGATATTACACTATTATTATATGAGACTATTATTATTAGGATAACCCTGCTTGAGCAGAGAGGTTGGACCAGATCACCCACTGTGGTCCCTTCCAACCTGACCTCTGTGATTCTGTGATAAAGTGGCTGAAAGTGGCTCCCCAGCCATCCCATCCCAAGGCCAGGTGGGCAATGCTCCAGAAAGGGGGTTTCTTGCCAGGCTTTTCACTGGTGCTCTCGAAACGGGAGGCTCACCGTAACCTGTGTCCATGGAATTGCTCACCCCCATTTTACTATGTTGGATTTAAATCAGGAAATGAGTTTGATGGTGGCACCCTGGCTGGCTCCACAAGAGTGGCCAGGACACTGTGACATTTCCTTGCTGTACTAGAATATGAACCTTTCAAATGTGTTTTTTCTTCTCCATCACTTTTAATTGTGGCCTCAGTTTGTTTCCAATACCAAAACAAGTTGGAGGGTCATTTTTCAAATTAACAGTTTTCCTTAACTTGCAATGCAGAATTCCTTGGCTTGCTGTACTAATGAGTATTCAGGGAGCTGGGACTTTAGCAGTCTCTACTAATTTAAATTGTATTAAGATTACAGCTGTAGAAATAAAAATGTTTTGTTCCAGTTAATTTTAAAGGTTAAGCTAAAAAAATCAGCACTGCTGTTGATTGCGTATAAAGCATAGAAGTATTAATGAACTTGCAATGAAGTACTCTGTTCTTAAATATAATCCTACATATTGCATACTTAACTGACACAGCAATTTTAGTAACTTAAGCTCTTCCTCTTTTTTTTTTTAACTTTTGAAGCTAACATTGACACTTGCTCAGGTGACTTGTCTCCCCCTTTTTTAAAAAAATTGCCTACTACCCCAAAGTTGTAATTTGGAGAGGATTGTTGATATGTAGCTGCCTAAGTATATGTTTAAGTTAAAAATATGAGTGATACTGTCTTAAGCCCTACAAATGCCTGTGGCGAGTTTTAACAGTACAAAAATTACATGCAAAAAGTCTATTTGAGGCATGATAAATTACCTTTTTCAGGATCAAGGCCCGTTCCTCGCTATGGATATAAACCATCACCACCAAATGGCTGTGGATCCCCTCTATTTGGAGTTCAGGTAGGTACTTCCATTTTTGGACTTGTCTTTTATACATCAACTTTCCTCACCGTAGATGATTTTTTCCCTCCCCCATTCCAAGAATGAGACAGCATCCATATACATAAGGATCCATATACAGTGTCCCTGCTCTTATCAGCTCCAAGACGTGCTCTGGTAACAACAGATGGAAAATGTTAGTATTGTAAATGAACATAGCTTAAACATTTTCAAATATTATAAGCATAAAATGTAACATTGATGATTAATTTTTCAGGTTTTGATGTTTGATTTAGTGTTTTGTTCATGCAGTCTTGAAAGCGTTGAATAACCACAACTGTGGGAGTCACGGGTTTGGCTCTGACTCTCGCTGTCCTTACTGACACTAATCCTTTTTCCTTAATGCTAGAAAGAAAATACGAGTTAGCTTATTCTCCTGCTTTTGGCTGGGATACAGCTAATTTTCTTCTTCATAGCTGGTGTAGTGTTGAGTTGCAGGTTCAGTATGAGAATAGTGTTGATAAAACACTGATGTTTTTGGCCTTTGCTCAGTAGTTCTTACCCTAAGCCAAGGACTTTCCAGTTTCCCATTCTCTGGCAGTGAGGAGGTGCACAAAAAGCTGGGAGGGAGCACAGCCAGGACACCTGACCTGAATGGCCAAGGGGATATTTCACACGATAGAACATGATGCTCCGTATATAAACTGGGGGAAGTTGGCCAGGAGGGGCTGATTGCTGCTTGGGGACAGGCTGGGCATCAGTCAGTGAGTGGTGAGCAACTGTATGGTGCATCACTTGTCTGTCTTGGGTTTTGTTTCTTTCTCCTTTTCCTCCTCCTCATTATTATTGACTATATTTTACTTTGTTTCAATTATTAAACTGTCCTTATCTCAACCTCTGAGGGGTGTTTTTCTGATTCTCCTCCTCATCTTACTGGGGGCAGTGGGGGAGAGGCAGGAAGAGTGATCAACCAGCAGCACGGTATTTAGTTGCTAGCTGGAGTTAAACCATAACCCTTGAGTACCATGTCTGGGTGGGATGGAGTTAACTTTCTTCACAGCAGGCTGCATGGCACTGTGTTTGGGATTTTGGGCTAAAACAGTGTTGATGGTTTTGGCTGTTGCTGAACAGTGATTGCACAGCTTTGGGACTTTGTCTTTTCAACCCCACTCTGCTCATCCACCACCCCAGAGCATAAGCTGGGGCTGGGGAAGAGGTTGGGAGGGGACACAGCTGGGACAGCTGACACAAACTGAACAGAGGGATATTCCATACTGCACAGTGGTGCTCAGCAATAAAAACTGGAGTAGTGAGAGAAGGTGGGGAGGGGATGGTGGTAAAGCCTACGTATGACTTCAGTGGAGGCTGTTGCTCACAGACTGGCTTGGCATCCTCTCTGCTTGTCAGATGTGGTAAATGATTGCTTTTGCACTGCTTATTTTGGGACATCTTTTTCTTCCTTTATTCATCTATTAAAGTGTCTTTTATCTCAACCCACGCGTTTTCATGCTTTTGCTCTTCCTATTCTCCCCTCCATTCCATGAGGTGGGGCAGGGGGTGAACAAGCATCTCTCTGCGTGCTTGGCTGCTGACTGGGGTCAAATCACCACACCTTACTAGAAGTGAACAGCAAAACAGATAAGTGAATGACAGCTGGATTGGTCACATTAGTTTGTAATTCCTAACTGTTACAGTCCATTCATAGGCTGTATCTTTCTTAACTGGAATACCAGTGGAGTACATGTGTGTGTGGATTTTCTTCACAGTTTGACATTGGTATCCCTTCGATGACAAAGTGCTGCAATCAACACGACAGATGCTATGACACTTGTGGCAATAAAAAAAATGATTGTGATGAGCAGTTTCAGTCCTGCCTCTCAAAAATTTGCAGAAACGTGCAGAAAACACTTGGAATCTCAGAGAGTGTCCAGGGTAAGTGTGAAAAACCCTTTCTTTTTTTTTTCAGGTTTAACTGAGCTTAATTTGGCAAAGAATCTTTGTGCTGCGCAATAAGGCTACATTTTCATAAGCTGATGCTGTTACTGAAAGATGCCTTGTTCTGTCCCTCTGTTGTGCAGCCCAGACACTTGTACAGCACAGCAAGGACACAGCATAGGAAAATGATCTGGGTTAAATCTAACCTTCAGTTAAGGTTAGTTTTAACTTTAGAGGGGAAAAAAATGCTTCACATTTAGAATTAATAATACGGGCATACAACTTGATCCAAGTGCATATATAATTCTTGCATTTGCTGTAACATGGCTGAATACTGACTGTTCTGCTGGGTGATTTCTAAACATCTACTACGTATGATTGCTAGTAAACTGTAGGAAAATGTGGAATAATTTCCTTTTATGAAATAAGATTTTAGAATAATACACTGTCGTAGTGGATGTAGTTAATGCTGTCCCTTAGTGAATAAATGTTAGGTTTCTTAGTAGCAGATGATATGATACTCCTTCTTGTTGTTGGCCTGCATCTGATGGATATATGACAACTACTTTTTAACTTAGACATTGTCACTTTCACAGTATGTAGTCCCACTGAGAGTAGTAAGGCTTTAGAACAAGCCTGTGTTTGAACTGCTCAAATTCATTTAACTGCAAATAAGTCATTGCATTAGTCTTTAGTGTCAGAACTGGTGAATATTTGTTCAGTTCTGTTGAGCTGATGTTAAAAATAGCAACCTCTGCATACACTGGGATGCAAAGAATGAGGGGGTAAACCAGTTCTTTCATCTTCCCAAGACTCAGTATTCTAACACAGTTAACATTCCATATGCAATGAATTTTCTTGTTCGTTTTGTTTGGCATGTGAAAAATCTTAATTCAAAACTTAAATGGCTCTGTATTGGTTCAGTCTTTCATTTAACAATGTTTGCCATGCCCAGAGAAGACTGCTTCTTTCTTAGAGTCATTCTCACTTTGCCAAAGTTATTTCTGTTAGTTTCATATTCCATTCAAAGCTACTTTTAACTGAATTCTTCTTTGCTTGCAGCTTGTGAATCAACTGTTCAGCTGTTGTTTGATGCAGTTATACATTTAGGATGTAAACCATACCTGGACAGCCAGAGAGCTGCATGTATGTGTCATTATGAGGATAAGACAGATCTCTGAAAGAAGATACTGAGTTCTCGTGGTGTACAATGAAGATTCAGCTGAACTGAAGCAAGTCTCTGGTTACAAAGCTTTATGATTTTCAGATAGTAATATATTAAACACTGACATGAATATACTGATTTGAAAATCACTACAATAGTCTTATTAATGGAAAAAAGAAACAAGTCTTCTTTCTCTTCTATTTTATGCCAGAATCTTGGAAACTGAAATTAGTTTCTTTTGGCGTATGCGTGCTCAGGGCATGTTATTGTACAACACTACAGCACTAGTGTACAACTACAGCACTAGTATGCAACACTAGTGCCATTTTAAAGTTTTTAAGAAAACTCCATAATGGGGACATCAGAGGCACTGAAGAGTTATATTGAATTCTCAGATGATTTTTAATATAGGTCACATTTTAGGTTTACTAGATGCATCTGATGGATCCAACAGGAAGGAGTGTTTTGTGTGCATCAGTATGACATCTTAAATAGCCTGTACTTCCATGTTTCTGGTACAATTGCATTCAGTTCTCTCTGATATATGCTGTCCTGGGTTTGTTCTTAAAAAAGCAACCAAAATACCCCAAGCCTGTATACATCTGAACTACATATTTCTACCTGAATCTGTATCAACCTTACTTCTGCAGCACTTTTCAGACCAAATATGTTGATCCTTTTAAGGCTTGACTAGTAAAATGAACAGCTTGCAATCTAAGGATATACTTTTGATTTGACAAAATGGTGAAATGTAGTTTCTTATGTTATTTTTAAAAATTCATCAAATGTCTATTTTTAAATAAAACATTTTGTGTATTATATGCACGGAAAGGATATAGTGTTCCAACATGTTCATTTATATTTATCTTGTGGCACAACTTGGCTACTGTATTCATCTTTGCTTTCATTTAGTACGTTCTGATGAAAACTAAAAGCAAGTTCCACGGTTAAGATCAGTAAGCCCAGCAAACCTTTTTATTTAAGATGTCCTCTGTGAGGCTGATGGATATTTGAGCCTGTATTTTTGTCCTCGGTTCCCATGACCTCTGTGAGGCTGAGCAACATCTGAGCCTGTACTTCTGTCATCTGTTCTCTCTCTGACTTCTCTAGCTAAAATCACTTGATATCTGAATTATTTGGGATTTGTTCTCTGTACTCAGCTTTCATTGCTGATCTACAGGTGTTAGTCCTTAACTTCTGCATTAGGTTCTCTGTTGTAATGATTTGCTCTCATGCCGCCCTGATTCTGCTTTAGATATCCACAGGAGAGGAGTGAAAATTAAAATACTGCATCTGTGAACAGGGAATAGAAACCATGCTAAATGCATAAAATTTACTGGACTCATGGACTGTAATGTCATTTCTCCTCTGGAAGGACTTTTATATGTTTTTTCTTGGCCAGTTGTATTTTTGGTTGGTTTATCACTGGAGCTTACTGTACATGACATTGAATGTGCCTCATTAAAAAAAGTTCCTGCTAAAATTCTTTAGCCATGCTTCAAGGTTTCTTTTCTTATTTGTGGATATGAAATAGCACTGCAAGAGAAGTATTACTATAGAGTTTTACAAAACTGTGCTTGACGAACTTGTGGTTCCTCTAAATTTGGTGAAATTTATTTTCTACCATAAAATTGAAACAACTCTGAATTACTCTGGAATTCCACGGTTGTAACCCTAAAAATCTTTTAACACCAAAGCAGGGAATGGTAATGGCACTGCTTGTTTAAAATGAAAAAAAGTACCACAATGAGTCCAAAATGCTGTAATTCAACTAAATAGCTGTTGAGTTCAGTACAGATGGGCTTAAACTAAATGCTTAAATGTCCTGGTTTTGGATGGGATAGAACTAATTTTCTTCCTAGTATCTGGTGCAGTGCTGTGTTTGGATGTAGTGTGAGAATAATGTGGATAACACACTGATGATTTAGTTGTTTCTGAGCAGCGCTTACCTTAAATCGAGGACTTTTTAGTTTCCTATGCTCTACCAGTGAGGAGGTGCACAAGAGGGAGGGAGGGAGGAAGCATGGTCAGGATAGCTGCCCCACACTGTCCAAAGGGATATTCCATACCATAGACTGTCATGTTCACTACATAAATGGGGGGGAGTTTATATCCCAATCAGCTGAGAGGCACTGATCACTGCTCGGGAACTGCCTGGGCATCGATCAGTGGGTGGTAAGCAACTGTACTGTGTGTCACTTGTCTGTCCTGGGTTTTGTTCCTCTTTATTATTTTCATTTTTATTATTTTTATTTATTTTACTTTATTTCAATTATTAAAGTGTTCTTATCTAAACCCATGAGTTTTACTTTTTCTGATTCCCCTCCCCATCCTGTGTGTGTGTGTGTACATGTGTACTTAGTTGCTGCCTGGGGTTAAATCATGACTATACAGAAAATTTTCAGTGTTGGAAAGAGCTGGGTTTTGTTCCCTTCTGTATTCACCTATACCATGAAAGTATTCCAGAGTTTCCTTCAAATCATGTATAACGCTAAAAAGAGCTTTAATCCTGCTGGATAGCACTTTCATAGTTCTGTTTGCAAACCACAGAAAGCATTTAACTTTTTCCACGGAGTCTTTACTTTGTGCAAGTTTTTCCTGTAGCAGAAATCCTGGATTATATTTACCTGCAAATGATACAAAATGCATTTTGCAGACCACAGCTAGCCTTCATTTTAGGGGTATCACCCCCAGAATTAACTTACATTTTTATATATATATATGATTTTATATATATATGTAAAAAATGTAATGCTTGTCCTGGTTTTAGCTGGAATAGTTAATTTTCTTCCTGGTAGCAGATACAATACTGTGTTTTGGATTTAGGATGAGAATATTGTTGATAACACACAGCTTCTCATACTGCCCTGCCAGGGAGGAGGCTGGAAGTGCACAAGAAGTTGGAAGGGGACACAGCCAGGACAGCTGACTCCAGTTGACCCAAGGGATATCCCCACACCATATGGAATCATGCTAAATGATAAAACTGGGGGGGTGGGAAGGGCAGTTGGCCAGGGAGTAGCACTTATCACTGCCTGGGAACTGGCTGGGCATACATTGCAGGGCGGTGAGCACAATCAAACTTCCTTCTTCCGACTGCAGTTCTAATCCATCCATAATGCTTTTTCCAAAAACTACCCACTTATGGTGGAGCTACTGCAACAATCTGAAAGCGTTTCAAAACGTTTCAAAACACGTATAGGCATGTATAACAAAAAACTTGCATATAACACACACCGGCCAAACGCTACCTGAGGCTTCATACATTGCAATCAAGTTACTGGTGAGTCATCTGAACATGGTGTCTGACGGCTCTTAGCCTGCAGCAAAACAAAGCAGAGAAAAAGTTTGTCTTGTTATGATCTGAGCAAACTGTTGGACTGAGGAACATGGCTGATACGAGTTCAAACTGCTGAACACAAAGCTCTTACAAAGTCCTAGATTAAGGTTCTACAGCTGCTACTTCACACAGGATTCTCTAGCATGGGCTGAGAGAGCTGGGATTAGAAATTGCAAAAAAAGAATGAATCTGCTTGATAGGAGTCTAAATGTTACACAGTGGAAGATGCAAAACTCTTACAATAGTATCATGTTCTAACTAAAGTAAACACAAAGCCAATTTAAGCAACTATTTTATCTTGATCCAGCTGCCTACTGGCAGACTGAAGGTAACAAGTCCAAACAAGGGGAAAAATAAGCAATGGTAGGCTTCTTCAACCAAAAGGGACACATCTTGTCTAAAAGATTTACCCATGCAAGAAACCTGTGGAAAACCAAACCAAATGGACTGGGTAAAAATGCTTAAAATCCCACTCTAGATCCGCCTGCTTTTGTGCTTGTAGCAGCAATCTCTAAGTGCATATTTGCACATGAGTTTATCCTTGACCCTGCCTAGAAACAGGCTGGATAGAAAATTCAGATTCCCTCCACTGTACAAAACTGTAAAGCTCTTATAGAGAAGAAATTTTTGTCATTGGCTTTAGTTTAGAGACTTGTGTCTTATGCAACTGATCCAGCGAACAGTAAGTCCATATAATTAACTCGTTGGGAATATCATCGGCACTTGTTAAGATACCTCGGCATTCTCTTCAATATCTCGTCACACTCCTCACAGTTCTGAAATCGTCAGAGAGGTGATGTAAGAATAGAGAAAATGCATTTTGAGGAGCAGGAGTTTTACAGGAAAGGAAAGCTCCCCGTAAGGGGGCCTTGAGGGCAGTTTTGAAAAATCTCAATAAATAAAGGAGCTTCTCACCACGTTTCAGGACGATAATTTTGTCTACGGCGGTGCAGTTACCCAAGGAAGGCCGCTGAGATGCCCGTCACAGGAGCGCAGGTAACGCAGGGCACACCTTTACACATCACCCTTCGGCTCTCCCGGCCGCGTCCCGCCCGACGGACACTTCCCCCGTCACTCGCCCCGTTTTTTGCGGAGGCGGCGGCCGGAGCCAAGGGCGACAAACGCCCGCCCCCGTGCGGAGGGGGCGGGCCGACCCCGGCACGGCACGGGAAGGAAGGACACGGCTCGGCTCGGCTCGGCTCGGCTCGGCTCCAGCAGCAGTTCCTTTGTCTGCGGTCATGTCGGGGCCGGAGCGGCCGGCAGGTGGGTGGGCGGCGGGGAAGGCGCGGCGGGTGGGTGCGGGCTCCGGCCGGAGCCAGCGGGATGCCGGGGTGCCTGCGAGGGGCTGGGGGGAGAGGGGTCCCACGGGCACCGTGGCGTGGCAGCGCTGCCCGGAGGGCTCTGCCGGCGCTCGTGGGGAGCGGGGCCTTCGCTCCCTTCCGTCCGGAGGAGGAAGGGAACGGGGAAGGTGGGACGTGAGGAGCCCAAGACGGCGGCGGCCGACGAGGAAATAAATGTGCACGGAAATGGATCTGCACGTAAAGTCCAGCGCACCCTGCGGAAGGGAAAGTCCCGCCGCAGGGCGAGGGAAGGGGGAAGATCGCCGATGTGTAAGAGGAGTTCAAGGGAAGAGAGGGCAGCAAAACTGCGGGGGTTAGGTGCATACCTGATTTTTGATTCCTCTGAAGCAAGGAGAGATCTAAGACAAGTAGTCCCATTGAGAGCAATCAGCTTTTAGAACAAGGCTGTGTAAGACAAGCAGAACACTTCTCATGAATCATAGTAATTCAAGTAGTGTTTACTTGAATGAAGCTGCAATATGAGAGTGGCATTGAAAAGCTACAGACTAGGAACTGACTACACAGAATCTGAATAACAGGAAAACCGTATTTCCCTAGTTTCCTTCGGCCCAGGAATTCTGTTCTTCCTCTGTCCACATTACAGTATTTTCTGCTATAGTCTGATAACATTTTATGATCTGTTTTTGGGGGAGTGCCTTGCCCCCCTCTCTCCTTAGGTAAAGACAAAAGCATAAACCATATCTCAGTTACATATGCAAAAATACAGTGTAAATTTAACATGCAGATGCACTCTAAGATTTCTGCCTTCCTGTTATCAACACAGGCACAGGTGTTGTTGCAGTTCTATCAACACTCATTTTTTTAGCAATTCTATCATTAGTCTGACCTCCATGTTATGTTTCAAGCAAAAGAAATAGCTTTTTTTTGTGCATTCAGTATAGGAGTGGTAACTGTAAGACGCCACAGCTGATTGATATTTGCCAGTGGGAAGCTCAAATGTAAAGAGTAACACTTAGTCCTTTGAGCCACCCCTCTACTTTCCCGTGCTGTTGTCTTCAACATTAAGCTTCTAAAGCCAAGTCCAGATTTCTGCAAGTTTATTCTGGTGTCTTTATGAACTTTTCTCCTCTATCAACACAGAGCTATGTTAGTTTTGCAAAAGAGTTTAATAACATGTGAAAAACAGATATGAAAAGGTAATGCTGTATATACAAAGCAGTTTGTAAAATATATGTGTATGTGACTCCTCTTCTAATTGCAGGCCACGTCCAGTTGGATAGCAGACCTATATTATCTACTACAGGTATAGTATAGTATATAGTTTTCATAATGTGTTAGTCTCCACCAGTAGAAGTTGTGATTTTATAGCCCACTGGTTAAGCGAAAGGAATAAATATTTTGGCCTAACCATCTGCAGGTCTGTAGTTCTGCACACTCCCAAGATGTGCACATTCCCCATTGTTCCCACACTGTTACCTTTATGTCCGCTGGCATTAGCTATACATACTGTTACACTACTATTGTGACTCATGTGCTACATCCAGCCTCTAAGAGAATGCTCAGCTTTGAATTAGCAGCATTACTAATAAAAGCATCATTGCTAATAAAAGAAACGGTAGTGTATTTTTAAATAATATAACATCGTAACTATTTAGAGACTCTTTTAAAAAATACAGCCAGCAAGTTAATTATATAAAAGCATGATCTCTGAATTATAGACAGATAGATAGAAAATACGCACATCTTGACCATCTAAAATTCACAATGTGAGAGTCAGAACTTTCAGAACAGCCTCCAAAAGCTGTGGGTGCGGACAAATGCTAACGAAGCTGTTTAGCTGCATGCCTACTTACCTGATGTGTAAAGGAGCTTTTGGTTCACATGAACAGCTAAACTTTAAGGCTGGATGCATAAATTCAAATTGTTTCTGTTCAATGAATGATTTTGCAGCTAAATCACTTTTTGATCTCTAACAGATGGAAATCAGAACATCACAGAAGTAGATGCGTTCGATACAAGGTAAAGTTCTGGTGGCAGACAGAGATGGCCCATGGCATTGAAATCATTGAATGCAGGGTTTTCTGATTTTTTTAAGAACATGATGGAATTATTCAATTCAACTCCACCAACTTACAGAACACATTTCTAGTTTTAGCTACACCAGATGCAGAAGCGCCCTTATTGTTAAGGCATGTGGAAGGGACTATTAGGAGTGGACTCGTTTTATGGTAGGCAATGTGCAGAGACTGTGGCAAAAATACCATCACAATCTAAGGAACAATTGGACAGACCAGGTAATAGAATGTAGCACAAGAATATATTCCTCTAGAAGGAGAGGAAAAGAGACCATGGGATAGCGATTCCATTGATTTTTCCTATTCCACCTTGCAACATCTTCTAGCCCTGAAAACAGGAAACTACCTGCCTGATAACTCTATTTGCCTCAGCCATTCAGTGAATACAACTGAGCAGAGAAAGAACTATGTAGGGAATCATCCTTTAATGGTCATTCACAGGATCCAGGGACCTAACTGCCCAAAATCCCTACCAGCCATGCATCTAGCCAAATCCTATGGAAGAGAAATTGCCAAAATCTGAATAAATTGTGGTACTGGCACAGGTAAAATACCATTCATAATTACAAGGCTAAAGTTTATAATCTTTGCATTTTATCATGTTAAGTACTCAAACTGGGGAGAGTGTGATAAAGCACCCAACTTCTTATACTTGTTATCCAACCAACACTGTTGAAACCCCCAGACTTTAAACAGTCATCCAAAATTCCTGTTCTCTGAATTCTTATGTAGTCATTACCAAAAGATGTTTCATTAAGGAGTTTCTCATAATGAGGTGGAGAAACAGAAACAGTTAACTATAACTATAACTTTGTTGCGAAATGAAGCATTTTGCTGACAAACTGTGATCTTTAAGTAGTGTCTGCAGGCAAATATTCTAGCCAATTTCTTCCACTAATTGCACCAAATCTGAATATTCTATAGCAGGAAAAAAACAGTAACATGGCAGAATGGCTCTGACTAGAGCCATTCCTAGGGCAGCATGACCTGGACTGTCATTCTGTACACCTGTTCTGTCCTTGTCCATTACCAGTGGTGTCACCAGAAGTGTTTTAGTTTTCATTTTCTGCACCAGTTACTGTCTTCAGAAGCAGAAAGATGGTCTGCTTTGTCTCCCAAAACACAGCCATGTCAACATTTGGAAACGATCTTCTGGATCCAAGTGTTGGCATGACTGTGGGTCCACAACCAAGTCCAGAGCATGCTGTTACACACTTCTATATTGTGTTTTGCTTGTAAACCAATAACACTGCTGAATGCTACTCCCAAACACACAGGTACTCCATGCTTTTGTTGCTATGATATAGTCCTCTACTTAGAAGCTGGGTAGGTCATTTATTCTGTCCTCTAGAACACCTCTGCCCTTCAGCCTTCAGATTTTGTTGGCTGGTTGCTAAAAACTTAGATGAACAGTTGTATTATCATAGTTTTCATTTTCTTAGGGTAAACAATAAACATTTGTTCTCCTTTTGCAAGATACACTACTCTTAGCACCTCATCACCATCCGTTTATAGTCTATTACTTATGATGTAGCACTTGATTTACTTAGAAGAACTTGAAGCAAACCGCAGACAGCTACAGTTCCAAATAAGTACATGTGTACTATCCAATTATGCTAAAATAATATTTAGCAGAACACATAACATGGAGAATTGGAGCCATGCCTAAAGTGCACCATTATACATGTTACTGTGTTACTAATGAGACAGCCTCCTGAGGAGAGAAAACACAAATACCTTGCAGAGAAACTGTTCAATCTATCTGGTGGAGTCACAGTAAACACCCAACACTTGTTTTTACTGATTCCCTTAACATGCCCAAGCTTTTAAAAAAGACCTAGCGATTTTGGGTCTTCCTAAAATATTCTGCATTTTGAGGTCTTGTCTTCTGAAATTGGCTCCTCCAAATCTCTAGTCAATTAAAAATTCTTACCTTGTGGAAATACAGGAAGTTAATTCAATTAGCCACTGACTCATTTATCAAGAATGTTTTCCACCTCTGGCAACAGGCAAACACATGATCCTGCAGTGCAGTACAAAATGAACCATCAAAGAAGAGGAATTGCATTAATCTTCAATCATGAACACTTTTTTTGGCATTTAAAAATGCCAGACAGACGTGGGACTTTGGCAGACAGAAACAATCTGAAACGCAGGTAAGAAACTTGGTTTCTCTGCTCATCCTTAAAAAAATCTAAACTTCAGAAATCATAGTCAAATAAGCAGTTACCTAAATCTTGTGTTTTAAGTAGAGGCCAAAAGATTTTGTAGACATAAGCATCTCTGCAACTTTGGTACAGAAAGCTGTAATGAAAAAGCTTTAGGGCACATTCCCTACATCACAGAAACTGCTGGCACAAGTGCTATGATTTCAGTGAGTCCAGAGCTTTCTTTGGGCAAACTCTTTGAAGTAACTTGAGGTATTAGACCTGTACTTGACACTAGTTTGAGTTCAAAATCAACTTTAGTTTGTTGTTTTTTTTCATAAATAATGCATAAACATGAATATTTATTCTCTGAGAGGGAAAGCAACTGACATATAATTTGAGCAAGACTTGTACTAATACTGATGTGTTTTAATAATAGTTTGACAGACCTTGGATTTGAAGTCAGAGTTTTTGATGATCTGAAAGCAGAAGGCGTGCTGCAGGAAATTTATGAAGGTAGGAGACTATACAGTGATTATGTCTAACTATTTGTAGCAGAATTTCCAGGTATCTTTTCTTCCATTCTCTCTATTTATCTAACTTAAAGCAGTTTTTGTGCACAAGGAAGTTCTTTAATATTAGAAGGACTTAAAGGTTAGATTGCAGATTATTGCAGTCTAAGGGAAACTTGTGTGGAAGAACTAAGGAAGTCACTAAAAGATGAAAGAAAGTACTTGCTGCTGGGAGAAGTTGTTAACATTCTTCTTTTTACATTTAGTGGCCCTTCAGCCATGTTGAATCAATGCACCTTCAAATCTGCAGTATTCTTCTATCTGAAAATAGCTTTCATTTGAAAAGGACTGATCAGGGATTAAAAATTATACAAATGTACAATGTTTTTTAAACCTCAGGATGACTGTTTAGTCATTTTGACTATTTCAGCCTCTCTGGATGACCACAGTAATGCTGACTGCTTTGTTTGTGTGTTCCTGAGTCATGGCGAGAATGATCATGTTTACGCATATGATGCCAAAATCAAAATTGAGACAATCACAGACATGTTCAGAGGAGACAAGTGCCGGAGTCTAGTAGGAAAACCAAAGATATTTATCATTCAGGTAAGATGTCTGTTTCTGAATTCAGTGGACTTAACACTGACCTGTGTCTTCCTGCAATACAGATGTCAGTTTTCCTGATGCAGTCTTTCCACAAGGGAAATTTTTCCTTAAAGACATTTCAGACAAGGAGTCTTCTTTTTTAAGAAACCTGTATGTACACTAGTGTTAATATCATGATTATAGCTGTATTTAGTAAGTAATTTTATGAAGAGAAACACAAATCAAGCCCATGTCAGATTGACTGTCAGTGTATATTTAATGGGAGAGAAGGCAGTGCCATATTTTTGGGGAAGGTCTCAGCTCAGTTCCTACTGCTCACACCTCACTAGACTGTAGAAGGCTATCAAACCTCTATCTTCATTGCTTCCTTCTAGGCAAGTCCCTTTAACTGATCCTTACTGAAGCTGGGGTTTGTGTTTTGGTTTTCTGTTTGGTTGTTTTCTTTTTTTCTGGACTACTTGGTTGGTTTTTGTGGTGGTAGTGATTTTTTTTTTTGTTTATGACCAATACCTGGCATCTCTGTAGACTCTAAGAATCAATTTAAGGATTTATTGTCTCAAAAATACTTTTTGTGATAAGTGGTCAAATAAAGCCCATATGTAACCTCCTGTTTCACATCTTAGTTCATGGCATAATGCAAGCTGAGAGGCGCCTCAGAAGGTCTCTGTTCAAGCCTCTTGTTCAAAGCAAAGTCATGGGATCATGCAGGGCTTATCCAGAGCAAACTCATATATGAACCTGGCCTTCAGCAGATTGTAATTGTAGTTGTTTACAGAGTAATCCTAAGTATTATCTTTTTTCTTTTTCCAAATGAAAGCTTCCTTAGGCACAGGGCTGCTGCAAGAATCAGCACATCATTAATTCATCTTTCATTAGGAGTCATGCAGGTTTCCTTTATTATTTTTAACCTGGAACCAAACATGGAAAAATATTTTCATATTTCAATTTTAAGTAATACTTGGAAATATCTATAACATATACTCATCAAAATGCTAATTAACTTAGTTCATCAGCTGAGTTCTTTTATAGAACAACTGGCACAGCATTTACCTTTGGAAATTAGAGGAAACAGCCATATGAAACTTCATCACTGTAAAGATTTTTTTTGTGTTTTCTCTTTTTAGTGGTAGTTCATAAGTAATGCTTCTTACTTTTTATCTTTTGACCGTGTTCTCACCTTATGCTCCATGTGTAGCCTTCCTGCATCACTGACAATACTGGGCTCACTTACTGACTTCTCACAAAAAAACCATCCCTCATCTAACACATTTGAGACAACTAAGAGCAGAAGTGTGACAGCATGTAATGATGGCTGTGCTCGGAACATTAATTCAATGCTGCCTGCTTGCCAGCAGGTCTCAGGGAGGCAATTCTTCCTCTCTACTCAGCACTGGTGAGGCTGCATCTGAAGTACTGTGTCCAGTTCTGGGTTTTCCAGTACAAGAAAAATACAGACTTATTGAAGTGAGTCCTGCAAAAGACCACAAAGATGATTAAGAGACTGGAGTATCTCTCATAGGAAGAGAGGCTGAGAGAGCTGGGACTGTTCAGCTTTGGAGGAGATGCCTCAGGGGAACCTTATCAATGTTATAAACATCTGGTGCGAGGGAATAAATAAGAGGGAGACAGGCTCTTTTCAGTGGTGCTCAAGTGACAGGACAAGAGGCAACCGGAATGAATTAAAACATACAAAATTCCATCTCAACACAAGAGAACACTTTTTCACTGGGAGGGTGGTCAAACACTGGAAGAAGTCACCCAGACAGATTGTGGAGTCTCCATCTATGAAGATACTTGAAAGCTGACTGCACATTGTCCTGGATAGCCTGCTGTAGAGCAGACCTTGGCGGTTGGACTAGGTGATTTTAAGTCCAGTCTTAGTGATTCTGAGATCATCTCAGAGCTTTCAATGGACTTCATCACCAATATTTTAACTGACAGAGAAGTAAATGGGTCTTTATGATCCAGACTCACGGTAATGTGGAACACCTAACTGAAGTCCCCTCTGGTTAACTTCAGAAGTATCACGTTAAACATAGGTGACTTTGGCAAAGGTGGAAACCTAACAATACTTCTCACCAACAGGCATGTCGAGGTGATAAACATGATGATCCAGTTATTGCTCATGATTCAACAGACAGTAGCAACGAATCCACTGTCAATGAGACTGAAGTGGATGCAGCTGGTGTCTATACTCTGCCCGCTGGTGCAGACTTTATCATGTGCTACTCTGTAGCGCAGGGTAAGTTCTAATATTTTACATCCAGTGTCTAAAACTTCACTCATTCTTCATTTTGCTGTCAAAAAAATGAGAGCAGTTCCAGGTCATCTGTTTTACATGTCTGATAAGTGACAACTTGTCTGAAAGAACCTTACGTGTTAAAGGAAAAGTGAAAATAAACTATCAAGGTTGCAGTTAATTTGCCAAACAGAAACAAACATTCTCATCAATCTTCCTACTGAGCTGTCTGCTGATAGCACACATTCCCTTCTATTCCACGATTGTAGGATTCTGGTGGCTTATAACTTTCCCTGCACTGTATGGCTGTTCTCTCTTATCCTCACTCCCATCTGCTCTCTTGTAATGTGCAGATACAGTCCTGTAAGCTACCAATCCCTGAATCACATTCCTCTTAGCTGAGCACTATAAGTGATCTCAAAGCCATTTCCCATCTACAGTTTCCAGTGAAATTACATAATTGGCAAAGTAAGATTTATACCCATTAGTAATCCCTTATGGATGGTAGCGAACAGTGACTCTCATAAATATTTTTCCAAGAGTCATCACTACTTACATTCAGATATTATTTTATGTTTCTGTTCTACATTAGGCTACTATTCTCATCGTGAGACTGTAAATGGCTCCTGGTACATTCAAGATCTGTGTGAAACGCTTCGGAAGCACGGGTCTTCCTTGGAGTTCACAGAGCTTCTTACTGTCGTTAACAGGAAAGTATCTTACCGCAAAGTGGATGTGTGCAGAGACAGTAATGCTATAGGAAAAAAACAGATTCCTTGTTTTGCCTCAATGTTAACTAAAAAATTGTATTTTCATCCAAAAGCTAAGTAGATTGTTATTTAACAACGATGACCATTAACTACTACTTGCTGCAGAAATGAAAACACCATCTTAGTTCAGGAAACTAATACTCTACAAGATTGTTCGCAAAATCACTGGAATCAAACATTATAGTTTGTATACATAATAGATTCTAAAATCTTAAAGCAATTTTAAAGCTAGTATTACAGCTCAGGGAATTTGGGAAAAGCTGACTGGTCCAAAACTCTATAGAAGGTGCTCAGATTTTATTGAAATTGGTATCTAGATTACTTTTTTGTAAAAAGCCTTTTGCTTAATTGCCATCTAACTATGGCACATTTTACTACTTCCAAAACATTTCTAATGTTGCATTAGATTAACTTATCTTGCTTCAAGAGCACACTTTATAGGGAATAAGTTTGTAGGGTATCTTTTTAGATTTGTGGAAGCAGCATCCACGTTGCAATTTTTGTGGCTTTATTGAGCTTTTTGGACATTTTTTAATTATTTTCTCTCAGCACTAAAAAGGAATTTAATTCCTTGAGTACAGTTGTAGCATTAACATACGGTTAATTAAATAGGGTTAATTAATAAAGGGTTTCTTTTTACTTGAACATCATTGTCTCAGTTTGAAGAGACTGGAATGTTTGCTAAAGAGGATGAGTTATAAGACAGACCAAACTCCTCTCAGCAATTGTAAATTCAAAAAATTAAGGGGCTTTAATCGAGGAAGTGTGGGAAAAAAAGGAAGAAATAACACCCCTTTATTAAAAGATATATGTATGTTGGCAAGAACAGTAACAGAACATAAAAACAACTAAACAATAGTCCTGTGCCCAGAAGTCCCCTTCAAACAAAAGAAAAAAAAAGTCTGAATACTTCTCTGTCTTTAGCGCAGCTCTAATCCCGGCCGGCAGGGGGCGCTGTTGGGTCACTGGAGGTGCAGGGCCTGCAGGTCTCTGTGTTGGCCTGCAGGGGGCGCTGTCGGGCTCTGGCGGTCACCACGTGGGAAGGGGGTCTGGGGGTGTCTCGGATCGCGGGAGAAGCCAAAAAGAAAATGGGGACCCTTCCCCCAGTGGAAGAAAGGGGGAAAGGAAAACAGTTCACCCCCACAAAACTCACTGTTGTCCTCAGATGACGGTGTCTCAAGACTCGTCCTTTCTTCTCCCGGTGAGCACAAAAACTCTCCGATGAGAACGCAGCAGGTCCGGGCCGGAGACAAAGACAGCCCGCCCGCAAGTCAAGGCCAGCAGTCAGGGCTGACCAGGGCGGGAAGCCAGAAAGACCGGTCTCCAGGCCTTCTCTCCAAAAGCACGCACGCAAGACCCTCCCCCGCCTCTGTCCCAGAGCGAGAGCTCAGCAAAAGCTGACCTGTCCTGTGTGAGGGCGGCCAGCAACTCCCCCCGTGAGCCGGGCCAGCTACCGAAATCCCAAACTCCTTCCCCTCCCTATTCGAACTCCATTCTTCCCACAGCCAGAGCAGGGGAAGAAAAATTCCACTCCTGGGTTTATAACCTATAACAATCATTTACGTTTGGGGCACAATTACAGCTTGCTGGTGCTTTGAATCCTCAGGAGAAAAGCAAGCAGTGGTGAAATGAGACCTTAGCTTGACTTTGGGTAAGCTTGCCCTGTACATACCTCTAAAGCTAAAGCTGCTAGACATCTCTAGGCAGCTCTGCAAAATATAACCTATGCAAACCTTCATACTTCAGACCTTGGTGTTGGATCAGCTTCTTCCTCCTCTTGGCTCTGGAGAAGATCAGCCATACTCTGTCATCGTGTACATACAAGTGATAGTCACCATAGGATTGTTACTACTGCTGCATCAGCAATTGCAGTGACACTGACTGATACTGCCTAGAAGTGAATATTTCTTTTCTTTGGTTTTTTGGTGTTGGTTTTTTTATATATTATTGGTACATACACTTAACCCTGAGGGACAATGGAGAACTCAAACTGAGCAAAATGTCTTAATCCACTTTCCTGGGGATAAAATAATTGATTTACTGCCTCTGCTTTAGTTCAGTCTATGGTCCGAAACACATATGTTAAATCTTACTATGTCTACTTTTAAGCTTTACATAAATCATGTATGTTTGAATATTTTGATAATTTTTTCAATAAAGTGCAACATAAATGATTTTATATTGAGATGCCTTGTTCTTCTAGCAATATTTACTAAAAAAAGCTTACCTGTAGATCAAGTCTAACCTTCATCAGTGGTGTTACACCAACAGTCAATGCAAAGAGCTAGGGAAAAGAATCCTTAATACTCAATGCAAGAAGAATTCTGTGAGCAACTGCTCATAGTACATGGTACTAAAAAGACAGCCTTTGTTCTGTAAAGCATCTCTGTCATTTTACCAGCAGTCAGAATGCCTCCATTGTACTAATGAAATTTGAAAAATATCTTGAAGATTTTGAAAAAAAAAAAATAAAATAAATAAAACAAACCAAAATCATCAAGTGACCATATCATTTTAATAGATATTTAATGCAACTTTCAAAACTATAGTGGTCAAAAATGCCCAGTTTCAATTTCAATTAAATGTTCATATCAGCTTTGAAAGGGCAACTCCAATATATACAAAACCAAAGTTAGTCCTTGTCATTGATTTCCTGGATGGGAAGCCTCAGGTGCAGAGGTTGGCGCAGACGCCTCAGGGATTCTTCTGCCTGCGAATGCAAGGAAGAGTGAGAGTTTATTATTGAAAGAGTGAGAGTTCATCCTTCTGCAGCCCTCTGTTTTCTCCTCTTTCACACATTTGTCTTCTCACAAGGCACTGGTCTTAGGCAAGAAACCAAGCAAATCAAAGGGAGGATGCTGAACATTTACAAACCTGCTGAGGGCATTCAGCCAGTCTCCAGAGAGAAGCATGAATCCTGCCGTCAACCCACTCACCTGCACCCCAAAGTATTATTTTCCTGAAATCACAAAGTTCATACTCACAAGCCACTGAAAAAGCATCAAACTTTAGCTTTATGTCATATGTGGCTCATGAAATTACACCTTGAACTATGGGTTTTGAACTAAAATTAGTTCCCCTTTTCTTTTACAAGACACTGAACACAGGGCTGGCAAGATGGGATGGAAGAGTGAGAACAGAGGAGTGAGAGATCTGCTAGACTTTGTCATGAAGGCCAAAAAGTTTCTCCTACGTACACACAATTTCCATCCAGTTGCTCATATTCTGTAAAACTAAGCCTTTTACCTAAGGAATAGGATTATGATGTCAAATGCTGAACTCTGCAAGACAATCTCCTTCCAAGGAAGGGAAGAGACTCTGTTACCACAGCAGTGCAGCAAAAATACTGTGTCCAGAAGCAATGCAGTTAGTCTATTAAAATGGTTAAAAAATGCAACATTAATTAGAATATGCAGAAAATAGGCTGATGAACTGACTTACTTGTTTTAAAATAAATTAATGAAGGTCTCCCTTTCTGATGATTTACTGGAGTAGTTTTATGTCAATGGCAAACACTGAATGGTTATCTGAACAGCTGAAACTGGCTGATAAACAGTACACTGTTTTGAATGTAAGTAGCAAACCTTGAGGTCAATTTTCTGTTAGCTAAGAGTTTACTGAGAAAGTCTTAAGCCAGAAGCTACCACATTATTCAAGGACTGTGTTTAAATACCTCTGCTAGGTCGTCTTTGAGCTTGTTGTATCGTTCCACATTAAAATGCTGTTTTTTGGATTTCCGATAGAAGTAGTGGAGAAACTGCCTGTCCTTGGCATGAGGGTAAATGTAGTCCTGGGGAAGGAAGGGGGACATATATTTGGGGTTATCAAGAAAACTGAGTAGAGGTCAGAAGATTAGAAATTCAGCCTGTTTCAGGAATATTTATCTAGTTCAACACACACCTATCTTCTGTAAAGAGGCTACACATGAAGCTATACTATTACAGGTCATAAGGGCTTTTTAGACACATGGTTGGAATAATTTCTATCATGTCTGAAGGAATTTTCAATTGTAATAACGACATAGCATGATCTTCATGACTGGAGCCACTGGAGTAAACAGACACAACCTTCAGGGAGTCAGAGGAAGTTCACGTACTGTTTCTCACAGACTTATTTGAAAGTCTTATGGCACCAGCAGCTCTTCAAAAGAGCCAAGTAGTAATCTCTTTATCTACTCACTTACAAAAATTAGGAATGCCTTAGCCCTTCTTAAAACACAGTGAGAAGGAATAAAACTCACATTTAGAGCCAGCTCTTCATAAAAACAGACATATCCCCCTTTCTCATTCAATGAACCTAGTGTCTTACAAGGTCTATAGATCCACTGATATTATGGAAGAAAGTGTTGGCTACTCTTCCACAACACCTCCACAATAAAAGGTTTGCATCACAGAAAGTTTGACATCAATATGCCTACTTTGAGAGTAAAGTACAGAGCTAAAATAGGAAAAAGAAACAGAAGTCTCACAAGTCTGTATTGTGAAGGTCAGTTAAGATCTGAGCAAGCTTTTGTTCTTCTACACAATGGCTGCTTCCTGCTCCACTTCAGTTGTCCTAGATTTACCTCCATTCATTCAAAGTCACAGAAAAGCAGTCAGATTATGAAGAACAAAGCAACAGCTTTTTTTCAGGCACTAAATAAGGCATATTTTAGTAATGCAACTGCCAGAGTTCCAAATGGTTTGGTACCCTGCACTGTTTAGACATAAACTCCAGCAAATAAAAGCTGCTGTTCAGTGATGTTCTTCTGTAAGGCAGCGTTCACAAACTGTCACAGCACTAGCAGTTGCTCTCCCTTTACAGCAATGAGCAAGGTTCCATTTACTATGCAAAGTGGTCCACAAATATTTTAAAGGAGAGACTTCTTTCATCACTTCTTATTCCCTAGATTATGAAATCTTACAGATAGTAGCTATGCTCTGCAGTTCATGTGTAACAGCACCTGGATTGATTTTGCATCATGTAATGTTTGTATCCAGCCCCATTACGGATCAAACAAGTCCTTGTCTGATGTCAAGGCTACTTACTAAATTCTATTTTCATCAGAGCCCAAACATTGTGATTTTCAGAGTCAGTTTTCCTTCTTTTCACTATTCCAGACACTACAAGAAAAGGACTTACTTGCTTAGTAAGAACAAAGTAGGCATAGAAAGCCATGGCAGTCCCATAAGTGATGAAGTACGTGACTGGCTCCATGATGTCCCACGAATAGACCCACCACGTGAGCCACGCCAACGCTCCCCCTTGAGTTGACATCAGAGCTAAGCCAACCCATAGAAGCCTGGAGGTTTTTGCATCTGCACTGTTTATGATTCTGGCTTTCATCTAAGGAAAAGAAATATAGCAAACATGAGTCCTCCTCTGATAAGCAGCTCGTCAACTATGTTTTCTCCTGCTGGGCTAGATCCTCTTTCAGGATTTCTTACTGATACCTCTTACTGACACCTCTTACTGACTTACCCTGCTAAGAAATAAAAAAACTGAAATCCAAGAGCAACCAGATCTTCTTGCCTTTGTGCACCCAGAAATTCTGCTTTTAAATTTGTCCTTCCAACTACTAGGGATCTATGTCTACTGGATTTCCATTTACCATTCCAGGCAGTTCTGGGTAACACTGAGGCTGGTCCTCATAAAGCAGGAGTCCT